GTTTTGGGACCTGCGCAACGTGCGGCACGCCAACGCGCGACGGAGGGGGGCGCCCCCGCCGGTGGCGGCAGCGTCTGCGAGTCCGTCTACACCGTCGCGCGCGAGTCGCTCGGCGGCCGCAGGGCGCCCCTCGGCGGCGAGGGCGTCAAGGTCTTTGACGTTGCGTGGGATGCCACGTGGGGCATCGTCAGCGGTGGCGAGGACAAGAAGGTCCAGATCAACAGGGGGCGGGACTTGCTGGCGCAGTAGATAGATCATGTTGGCGGTCCAAGGCGGAAGCGGACGGGTGCGATCAGGGGAGAGCGAATGAGCGAGGGAACAAGAGAAAAAGTGTCAAAAATTTGGATGGCGCCCACCCCCCCTTGTTGATAGACTTGCAGAGGAATATACCCCCAGTCATGCATCTTCCTTTGCTGCTCTGCTCTGCTCTGTCTACTTGGCCGTCAAGGTCAGGATAGGTCGTCACCTTGTACTTCATCCGTCGCAGGCCTCAAACTCCATCCCCACAACAACAAGACCGCCTCTCCGTCCCTGCGTCACTCCTACGTCTGCCACGTGTACTCGCTCAGCGCCAGCATCTTCTCTCCCATCTGCCGCTTGGCCGCGGCGGCGACGCCCCTCTCCGGGTTAGCGAGCTGCTCGCTGAAGCACAGCTCCATGAGCGCCTTGAGCTCGTCGTACGAGAACCGGAGCCTCCTCTCCTCCTCGTCCGGCTCGCCGTCGGCCTCGGCCTCGCCAGCCTCCTTGTCGGCCTTGGCCTTGGCCACGACCCCGTCGGGGCCTTTTTCAAAGAGGGCAAAGTACTCGGCGGCGCGTCGCAGGTCGACTCCTTCCTCGACATTCTTGAGGTTCTGCTGCAGCACGAGAATGTTGAGCTGCATGCGGCCGCAGCCGCGCCCGTTCATCGGGGACGCGAGCGGGGCGTTGCCGACGAGGTAGGCGTCGATGAGACGGCCGAGACCCGTGCGGACGAAGCGCGACTCGGGGATGCGGAGGTGGCGCGTGATCGTCTCGTCGTAGGTCATGACGTCGGCGTTGAGTTTGAGGACCTGCGGGTCGGGCTCGTTGACCTCTTGTTCGAGGAGATAGGGGGCTGACGTCGAGGGGGTGAGGGCCGTGTGGAGGGAGTAGATGATCTGGGCGCGCGCCTCGAGATGGAGTGTCAGGAGGGCCGTGTTGGCGAGCTCCTCGAAGGAGGAGACGATACCATCGAATGCTCTGCGGGAAGTTGGTCAGCAAAAAGAAAGACATGGAGAAGGGGTAGGCGCAGGGAGTCACTGACTGGACGGTATCCTGAGTCATCGGGAGGTACACAGGACAGTCCTCACTTGTAACCTTGTTCGTGTCGTTCATCAAGGTCCAGCGCTTGCCCGACTGGCGAGGCAGATTCGGCCGCGTCGAATCAATATCGTGTTGGGTAATGTGCCGCAGACCCGAGATTTTGACGGCCAACCACTTCATGCTGGTATATAGGAGGCAGATGGATGATATCGTATCCTTGTCCTGCAAAATATCACTGAGCTCCGTCTTCTGATTGTTTGTGTAGGCGATCAGCTGCCCGATTTCCTTATCCATCAGGACAGTGTCTGTAGTCTCGGAGGCCCAGATGCCCTTGATCGTCTCGTTGATCTGGCTGGGCTCGAGTGCGAGCTTGGCCGCGAGTCGTAGTGTTTGTGTGTCCGTGGCAGTCTCCTGCGTCTTGCTGACGAGGGACTTGAACCAGCCGAAGCACCGATCATAGTACCTCATCATTTGCCGAATGATCAGTGTGCTCAAGGCTTGATCGGGCGGTATGGTTGTGAGCATCTTGCAGAAGGCCATGACAACAGTGAAGAAGGCCGTCGTGCCCTTGAAGACCGGCTTCCGCGCGACTTGCATCCATTCTTGATCTTGCGTGAAGGAAGTCGTCTCGCCGAAGATGGTGTCGGCGAGTTTGCCCAATGTCTCATCCAGCTGCGGCTGGAACACGTTCACCAGGAAGTTATCGAGGAAAGACGTCAGGGCGCTCGAAGCCAAGTCCGAGCCAGGTGGGACAATAGTCCTCAAGCGCTGGAGGAAGACCAGGGTGGGTGGTAGCAACAGGCTCATGTTGAAGACGCTCGGCTCAACAAGCGATTTGTGGGTGCTAGAGCTGTTCTGTTTGCTCTCGTATCCGGCTGTTGCGCTCTTCCTTGAGCTGCCGCCGTCAATGTTGTTGGAGCGGCCAATCGCCTTCTTGTCTGCGCCTGGCTTTCGACTGTCGGTCAAGCCGGGGACGGCAGCTCGGATGATGCCTTCGAGAGCCTCATACTCGGTGACCATGTCGACCGACTTGGGATCCGCTTCGGCAAACTTGAACAGGTGCTCACGCGCGACATCCTTCTTGCCATTCATATTCGAACCCATTTTCGGTGACGAGCTAAACTGGTAAACGTCGGCGTCCGTCGTGACATAGTTGTGTAGGAGCGATCGAATCTCGTTCTGGTACAGGTTCCACAGCTCCTTGAAGCTGCCAAGCAGCACGCTATTATTACCGGCGCCCTCGCGGCGGATGAGCGCCTTGATTGATTCGTGAAAAATGCGGTGTCCCTCGGCAATGGCCTCAAACTTGCCATACAAGGTCCATAGCAAGTCGTAGATGACACCTGCCCGCATCTGGGTTTCTCGGTTCCCGTAAATGTGAAGACCCTCAGAGTTTACGGCGGCGCCCCGCAGTGAGCTCGGGTGTCGCTGGTCCACCTCGTTGATGGTCTCGTTGACGATGCTGAACAGCTCGACAGGCATCCTCTGTTTGAGAATGTCGACAGCCATCTCCAACCGTCCGAGCTTGTTCAAAGACTCGACGAGAAGCCCGACATAGGTGAATGTGTCGGCCTCGGGGTTCTTGGCTGGGTCCTCCGTCGCCGGCCGCTCGAGATCCATGCCCTCCAGACATGAGTGGAAGAGCGGAATGGCCGTCGCGTCAGTGTAGGCGTCATTAAAGGCGCCTTGTGTCTTGGCGAGACTCTGCCACCGCTCCTGGCAATAGGGTGACTTGAGATACAGATGCTCGTGTAGCTCTTCGACCAGGATATCCATCAATGCCGAGTCTTGGTTGGCCAGATAGTTCCTGAGGTCGCTCAGGGCGCCGATATCGTCCAGCTCGGGCTTGCGCAGCTTGCGCAGCGCGCTCTGCAGAACATCGACGGCGGACAGGAACCTCTTCTCGGAGATGCGGGCCTCGAGCTGGTCGGGGACGAGGCGGAGCTCCTCGAGCTCGTTGAGGCTGGTCAACAGCTCGTCGTAGGCCTGCGACGTGGCGGACAATTTCTTGAGCTCGGGATCGGTGGAGCAGAGGCTGACCTTGGACGAGGCCAGCGACTCCTTCAGGGCGCGCACCCTCTTTTGTGACGCCTGTATGCTGCCCTGAATCTTGTGGAACGTGCCGATGGAGCTGTTGAAGCCCTGGTGGTGCTCGTGGACGATGCCCTTGAGCGAGCTCTGGAGGTAGTCGTGGGTCTCCTGGAAGTTGCGGTATTCGTGGGCGCGGCCGACGGAGCTCGTGTCGAGCAGCTGCAGGGCGAGCTGGACGGGGATGCAGTCGGTCTGGCACATGGAGGGCCACTCGCGCTTGATGAGCTCGAGGACCTGGGCGATCTGGCGCTCGGCGTTCGTCTCGGGCTGCATGCGCTCCTGGCGAGCAGGCGGCGGGACGTTTCGAGAGGCGGCCTGCGGGGGCGGCGTCCTGTAGGCCATGGTCTGCTGGGACGGCGAGCCGTAGCGGCCGCTGTTCGAGTAGCCGTCGCCGTAGGGGTCGTAGTCGCCCTGCTGGTCCTCCTGCGGTGGCGCCCCGAAGTTGCCATAGCCGTTGCCATTGCGGTAGGGGCTCCCGTACCGGTTCGACATGGCGGGAGACGGTGGAGCGAATGCGCTACGTGGATGGTGGCGGCTGGCGCATCGTCGGATGCAAGAGGGCAGTAGGGTGTGCTCCTCGGCGGTTGGCGGGATGGGTGTGTCGGACGATCAAGCTGATCGAGGGGGCTGCGAGTCGAGCGTCGTGAAGGAGTCGTGAGAAGGCGTAAGGCGAACGAGTGTAGGCTAGGTAGGCTGAGCAGTTCAATTCACTCGAGCTCCATGTTCAGGTACCACAGGGCCCCGTACTACTGTAAGGTAGGCGCGGGTTATTCAGTGGAAGTGGGAAAGTGCAGGCCAGCCACCCCCGGACATGTTTCAGCGCAAATGGCCATTGGCCGCATTCTTGGTTTCATCGTCCCCTGTGGCTGTGCTCCTACAGTACTGGCAGGTGCCTACCTACTTGTACCTCACTAGGTACCTAAGGTAGATACCAAGGTAGGTACGTACAAGGCACATACAAGGCACATACAAGTATGCATGTGATGGGGCATCTACGATGCTCGTCTTCAACGCAGTTGACGCTCATGGTGACTGGCCTAGTTCTTGGTATGCCGCAGAGGGGAATGGCTGTCAGTAGAGTAGAAACATGGCACGGGTAGGATACATCCAATCTGCAAAATAAAAGAGAAAAATACACAGCTAGAGTCAGTCGTCGCGATACAGGTCCCGGGTACCAAAGTGCCCCACACTTAGGTACCTTACCTAGCACTAGGTGCTCCAGTGAGCTCCCTGACGCGTTCCCAACAGTCAGTGTCTTCACGCCTTACCTAAGGTGCCTCGACTGGACACTCAGATGAGCTTCGACGGTCACACAGCATGCTGCCTTGTGCTGTGCACTACCTTACCTACACAACTACAAGCACTGAAGCGTCTGTGAGGCGCAACTTCAACCATGGCGGCCAGCTTCTCTATACAACCTATCGGCCGCTTCTACAGCGCCAGCCAACCTGTCAAGCGACCAAAGGTCGGTCCGTCAATGTCCCAGGCGCATCGTACAGCCACTAATAAACATCAACCAGGAATTCGCCTGCTTCTCATACGACGACAATCATGAGTTTCACCTTGACGACTCGTCTATGCGCTACTACTACAATCCCACTATAGGCGCCGACTTGTCCAAGGGCTACGATACCTTTGTCAAAGCGGACGAGTCTGGCGATGAGCACCTCGTCAGTCTGCTCAAGACCATCCAGGCTCATGAGCAGAAGTCGGGACAGAAGATTGATGCTCAGCTCGTCACATGGAGGGGCATGATGACCAAGGTACGCCTCAAGCTCCTGTGTCGTTCTTTTGTCGTTCTTTTGAACATTCTGTTTCTGATGAATCAACCATTAGATCATGAGCACGCCGTTTGACGACCGCGACGGGTGAGAGGTCCGTCAAGGACGGAAGGGCGACGCAGCTGATGACCCACCAGGTTCGAGATGAACGCGACTCTTTACCAAGTGCGCCAGCCTTCCCGACCATCTCTTGTGTGACTCTCCACTGACGTCCCTAGGATTGCATGTAGGAACAAGCCCCTTGGCGTGAGTGTGATGAGCGGCTCATGACTTACACGACGCAGCTTCATCGAGGAGAACAACGCCTACAAGAAGGCGTCTCAGCAGCAGCAGAACGCCCAACAACGACGCGGGCCCCATGCGCCAGAGGTCATGCAGTTCTGGGGTGCGCTCTTCTCCCTGTCCTGGGGGTTCCCAACCCGTTCCTGACTCCTTTGCAGGCTACAAGTTTGAGACTCTAGCGACCCTCCCCAAGCCGTGGGGCGACACACCGCGCGAGTACATCGAGAACCGCGAGAACGAAGTCGTCAACAACAAGGCCCAGTACTGCTCCGTCGTCCGCACTGGCATCGGCGCGACAACCATCTGCATCGGCGGCGAGGTCGACGCCAGTAAGTCTTCCTTGCCTCTGGCTCCCCCTGCCATCCCCCCTTCCCCGAACCATCAGACCAAGCAACCCCGACCTTCTGATCAGGCTGACATGCCCACCCCCTCCTCGCCCAGTCTGGGACTCGAAGCCCGCGCAGCCCGGCACCCCCATCAACTGGGTCGAGCTCAAGACGTCCGTCGACATCCGCTCCGACCGCGACGCCGCCACCTTTGACCGCAAGCTCCTCAAGTTCTGGCTGCAGTCCTTCCTCCTCGGCGTCCCGCGCATCATCGTCGGCTTCCGGACCCACGCCGGCATCCTCGCGCGCGTCCAAGAGATCCAGACGGCCGAGATCCCCGACACGATCGCCCGGCGGCCGAATCCGCCCTGGAACGGGGACATGTGCGTCAATTTTGCGGGCGAGTTTCTCGACTGTACGTCTTCTCTTCTCTTTGCCTGCCTCTTTCCTGCTCTCCCTTTTTTTCTTTTTCTTTTTTTTTCAGTTCAGCGATTTTCGGACCGAGGCCATCATCTATCGTTCGCCCACTGACGCAAGCGGACAGGGCTCCGGCAGACGATCAATGACGATGGCGTGTGGAGGATACGCAGGAAGCCCGGGTCGCCGACCATCGAGGTCTTCCGCATCGAGGAGGCGGGCCACGGCGAGATTCTCACGGACGAGTTTATAAATTGGCGGATCAAGCTGTCGCTAGGACCTCCTCCGGCCGAAACCGAGTGATGCCAAACTTCAACCCCCTTTCCACCTGAATGACCCCTTAAACTTTCCTCTTCGCTAAAGACGGTAATTCACGATGCATGCGCACAGGACCAAAGCCTCGGGAACGTCTCTCATTCCAACTACCTAATGCTATGCTAAAAAAAAATCTCAATCGCGAACCGCGAGGTATCTGTTACACCCATCCCCTGAACGCCAGCAGACCACATAGTCGTACAAAAAGCACAAACACACATCGAACCATGCAAAAAACTCATGGCCTCGTCAGAAAACCAGCACGCCGCCTTGCCTCTCCGTATCGATGCGCTCAAAAAGAAAAACAGAAACTCTCAAATACCACGACATCCAAAAGTCGAATGTCCAAAAAACGATAAGGGAGAGAAGAAGGAGAAACAAAATGGGACGGAATGTGAACCAATCGCACATCCGCAAATGCTTTTGTGTATG